CGTGGTCTGGGCCGTGTGCGGAGCCTTCTCCATCGTGGGCGCGCTGTGCTACGCCGAGCTCGGCACCACCATCACCAAGTCCGGCGGGGACTACGCCTACATGCTGGAGGTGTACGGCTCCCTGCCCGCCTTCCTCAAGCTCTGGATTGAGCTGCTCATCATCCGGCCCTCCTCGCAGTACATCGTGGCTCTGGTGTTCGCCACGTACCTGCTCAAGCCCATCTTCCCCACCTGCCCCGTGCCCGACGAGGCTGCCAAGCTGGTGGCCTGTCTGTGTGTCCGTAAGTAGCCGCTCGTGGCTTTCGGCTGACGGGCAGGAGGGTTAGATGGGATTTTGGGAAGGATTTCCTCCCTGGAAAGGTGGGGAGGTGCTCGGAGAAGCTGTGGCTGCTCCCGGATCCCTGCAAGTGTCCAGGTTGGAGCATCCTGGTCTAGTGGAAGGTGTCCCTGGCAATGGGACGGGATGAGCTTTAACTTGCCTTCCTACCCAAATCATTCCATGGTTCAGTGACCCTCTGCAGCTCCCTGCTGTCCTACTCCACGTGGTTCCTCACGCACCATCACCTTCCCCAAAAGGTCTGCACCATCTCTCCTGTGCTATGCCGGCTGCATCCTAGTTTGTTTTTGTTGGGTTTTTTTTTGGCTACTTCGAATAGCCACAGCAGAAAATGTGGCCCCACCCGTAATAAATTGAGCAGAAAATTCCCCAAATGCCAGCTGTGGGTTAGTGAGCCTCTCCGATTCCCGAGCAGCGTGATAAATGCAAAGTGCATTTTTCCTGGGAGCTGGAATAGGATTTCTTGTGCTCTCCCACAGGACTGTGCTCGGGCAGGGTAAAATCCCCTCGTCCCCAGGCTCTGCAGGGCCGGGATGGACGTTGATGTGGTTCGGGAGAGGATAACAATTATCTGTCACCAGCAACTGGTGCTGAAAACACGCCCCTGAGCTGCTTTCAGCACCAGTTGTGAGAGGAGATATTTCCCGGCCGTGTGTGCGCTGACACCGTGCTCCGAACCTGCCCTTGTGGGGTTTCTTTTTGCCAGCAAACATTCTGTCTCTGGGGCGTGCCTTGCAGAGAGGTTCAGTCACGGTGGGATGAATTCAGGGCCGGTGATGCCAACCTGGGCACACAGAGCCCTGCCAGGGCACACAGATCTCTCCTAATGCACTTTTTATCACCTCTCTGCTGTTTTGGGGTCTGCAGTTTTGCCGTTCAAATCCTATTTTCTGCTCCTCTGGTGACTGCAAAGTCACCCCATCCAAATTCCCAATCCTTTGAATACAGGACCATGTCCTGCCTCTTCCCTTGTTTTCCATTCAACCTCTTCTGCTCCTCCAGAATTAAATGCCTTTATAAAGATGTTTATTGGGAGAAGATAGCCCTCACAACAATTATTTCTAAATCATTTATCCACTGTACAAAATCACAGCCATGTGATCTCTATATTTTTGCATTTTGAGTGATGAGGAGGAAGCTGCTCGTTGGTGCTGCTCTTTCCCAGGGGATTGATTGTGTGAGATTCCATCCCACTCCGAGGATCTCAGGCATCCCAAAGCTGCAGCACATGGTCGTTATGGGAAGATAAATTGTTTGGAAATGTCTCATAGCCAACCTGACCCGGGCTTTGGGAGGTAAATTATATGGCTAATTACAGGATTGATAACAGGCAGGGCAGTGGCAAGATTGAAACTTTTCAGTCCCCAGCTAAATTTTTAGGTATATAAAAGTACCTGGGCAGGCATGTGGATTTCCATCCAAGTTTTTTACATCTTGGAGGGCTTTTATTTTTTGGGAAATTTAGTCATTTAACTAAGAAAGCTGTAGCAGTCCTGCTGATGGGTGTCTTGCCTTTTGGAAATTGATTTTTGAGCTTTCCTGCCAGTCTGCACTGTGGTTTCCTCAGGGACACACAGGAGAGGGCCATGGATGCATGTGGCATTTGTGTTCCTTGATGAAAAACCAAGGAATTAGGGTATAATTTAAGATTTTCTTGCTGTCTTAAGGCAAAGTTTTGCTGTGCAAGCACAGATTGGAGCTGGCAAAGCCCTTGAGGACTTGTTTCTCACCATAAGTGACTTTTCATCTTCAGGATCATTCCCCAGACGGGTCTCTGTTCCTGTTTTATTGATCAGAGCCCACTAAAGCAGGGTTAAACAGACCCATGTTGGGATCTGTTCACTGGTGGAGGATTTGCAGCATGAAACTCCTTGAAGCCAGCTCTCATTCCCCTTTATGCTCCTCCAAGAAAAGTCTCCAGCCTTCCTTTGGTAGCAATTAGGATTTCCCTGCGGCAGAATTTGTTCTTGAACCTTTATCCTGAAATGCCAAGGGAAGGGTTTGGAGTTCTCCAAATCTGCATCATCCCCATGTGTTTCTCCTTTAAACTCTGCTCCCCCCTTGCACCGCTGGCTCTTGGTTTGTTTATGCTTTGGGTTAAATTTGGGGATTGTCTCCTTCGCTCCAAGAGGTTTGTTCATCCTGCAGCGCCTTCAGCAAGGCAGCTTTCGGGAGCTTTGATTTTTTGCAACTTTGATTTTTGGAATCAGCTTTTCATCTCCCCGGTGCCAAAACCACACCGTGACCCAGGAACAATAAATGAAATAAATCTGCTCCAAGGGCTCAGGCACACAACACTTGTGGGGACTCACAAACAGCTTTGTTCAAACAGCAGCTGCCCAGAGAGGGACTTTTTATTCCTTTCAAAATCTCTAGAGTAGAAAAAAAAAATGACCTATTTGTGCAGAGGCTGTAGCACATACATGAATGAATTACCTCAAAATGGGAGAGAGCAGCTTGGGAAGCAGCAGAGGAATTTGGGACCTGGGGCTGGAGTGCAGTAGCCAAAATCCAGCCTTGCAGAACAGTCCCAGCTCTATTCCTTGAAAAATTTGTATCTCCCCACGAAATGCACTTGGCTGCACAGTTTGTAGTAAGAGGAGGAATAACTAAAGTTATTTGTTTCCACTTCACTGCTGTTGGATGGTTGAATAAATCATGTGTTGTTCAGTCTTTGCCACCATGAATTTCAGAGAGTGAATGAATGCATTAGAGAATCGAAATCATGGGCTTGAGTGAAAGGAAAAAATGGTTGGAAGAGGGAATTTTGTTCCCCTGGAAGGTGCTGAGGAAAACAAGGTGGGTGGTAAGGAGAATTTACCTACAAATAGGCATTTTCTGCCCTGAAGATTGTAATCTACACACGGTTGGTATGCAGGGCTTCTTTCATGGGCACGGGAGTGCCTGTGGTGTTTGCCAAATAAAAGCTGGGAATCCGCTCCAGGGAAATCTTCCTGGAGCACGAGGGGTCAGGCTGTTCATCTTTAGCCTGGCTCATTTCATGTTCCTCAAAAATTTGGCTGAAGACTTTTCAGGCTGCAGGTTACTTGGGTGACTGAGAAACCTGAGCATCGCTTTTATCTGTGGGATTGGATGGTTAATTTAAAACTGATAACACAAAATCCATCCGAGCATTTGGTACACAAAAATCACAAGTTCAGAAAACGGAGCTTGTGCATTTGTGTGAAAAGCCAGGAATACTTTGAATTCTCTCACTGCTGAGCTCTTCTAAACCAGTTTTACTTCTTCTGTAGTGGGTGGCGACACAGTTATTAGGTCCTGAATTTGCGTATTTGATGATCTACATTCCAATGTCAATATTGGACATGGCAAAGAATTGAACCTTGGATCCTCTGCTCTGTCTCAGGTGAGAGGGGCTCAGGTTTTCTTTCCATCCTGCTGCCACTTGAGTGAACACTTCTTCAATTCAAACTGATAAATCCTAACAAAGATCAGTAAAAATCACCAGTACACCCTGTGTGTTCCAGAGAGGGCTCAGGGGTGGAAAATGTTACACTGATTTATTAAAGATGCCATGGATATTCCTCGTTTCCTACTGTTAACCTGCAGATTTCCTGCTTGCACAGAGGCTCCTTCCCAGGTTTGGGTTGTGATGCAGTAAATGAATTCCCTGTGGATCAAGGAGACAGGGAATGAAACTGCTCCCAGCCCTGAGCTGGTTCTTGGTGTTCCACAAGTGCCTGAGCTGTTCATCCCACACATCCTCACACCCTGAGAGCCACACACAGCTTCTTCTAGAATTCCCTCATTTCCTGACAGTAAAATCTGCTCCACAGTGGAATAACCCCAATAACAGCAATATCAAAGCCAGGGAATTTTAATCTTCCTCAAAATTTGTCTAAACTTCCCTCACTGCTTCTGAACTCTGCTGTTGGGCACTTGTACTGTGGGGGTGGAATTCCAGGGAATGCTGATGAATTCCTCATTTGTCTCTCTTGTTTTGAGCAGCCAGAGAGTGAAGGGATGAGCAGAAGTCAGGGCAGAGCTGAGAGCACTTGTCCTGTGGAAGTGCCTGACACTCCTGAGAGGAAGCTGGGAGTCAGGGCAGGAGAATGAATCCAACCAAGGGTAGCTGCCAAGTTGTCCAGAAGGGAATCAGTGCCAGAATTCCACCCAGAAATCACAGGTCCTCTGGGAAGCAGGAATGTCTTTATTTGACATCAAGGTTTTGCTTCCAACCTGCCACGCTCAGCTCTTTTTCCAGGTGTGTGGATTTTCACCTCTTCAGGTATAAACTGGTGAAAAGTAAACAGCAAACACACCCAGGGCCTGTCTGCCTGAGATGGGTTTGTTCTTTTAATTAATCAGCCACGACAAGCTGGGTGTGAAGCTTTGAAGATTGATTTTTCCTCCTCCAGAAAGGTGGATTAAGAGACTAAAGCTCCATCAGCAAATTGCCCTTGTTGGAGTGGAGTGGAAGGAAGGGTCTGTGGAATCCCTGCTGGATGGCAGAGGCTGCAAGGCTGAGGTTGCTTTTTTAATCCGTATTTAATTAGAGCAGCATTAATGAAAACAGGCTCTGACACTCCAGAAATCAAATGAGGACTTGGAGGGCTCTTGAAACACACAGGGAGCAGCCACTGCAATTGCAGCACCCCTCTCCTGGCTCTCACAACAATTATCCCATTAAATGCTACTGTGTTTGGATGTTTTATGTTATCACTGAGATCATCCAGAGTCTTTCTCCTCTGGTATGAATAAATTGGGAAACTTTTTGTGGAAAAGCTCTCCAGGGTGAGCCTCATTTAAAGCAGCATCACTTGCTTTGAGTATTCCATAGTCCCAGGGTTGGATGTGGCCAGGAGGTCCAATCCAAGGGATGGGAAATTCAGTTTTTCCAGCCAGGATGCAGAGCTGAATTTATAAAATAAATTCACACACATAAAATACCAGCAAGTGCTGCTCCCTCTTGGGAAAATGCTT